AGGAAGGAAGGAAGGAAGGAAGGAAGGAAGGAAGGAAGGAAGGAAGGAAGGAGAGAGAAGGAGAGAGATAAAAGTTCATCCCTCCATTGAATTTGACAATCATGGAAGGGAAGGGGATGGAGGGAGGGGAACGAAGGAAGGAAGGAAAGAAAGAAAGAAAGAAAGAAAGAAAGAAAGAAAGAAAAGGAGGAGAAAGGGGAAGGAAAGGAAGGAAGGAAATAAAGAAGGAAGGAGGAGGAAGGAAGGGGAGGGAGGGGAAGGAAGGAAGAAGAAAGAAGGAGTTGGAGGGAGGGTAAGGAAGGAAGGAAAGACAGAAGGAAGGAAGGAAGGAAGTAGGAGGAAGAAGAAAGGGGAGGGAGGGGAAGGAAGGAAGGAAGGAGAGAGAAGGAGAGAGATAAAAGTTCATCACTCCATTTGAATTTGCTTGACAATCATGGAAGGGAAGGGGAGGGAGAGAGGGAGGAAGGGGATGGAGAAAGAGAAAAGTTCATTATTACATCTCAATTTGCTTGGCAATCAAAGGAGGCAGTTTGGAAGTGGGGATGATATGAATTATCCTGGCAAAACTCAAGGCTAGCTTGCTAGTTAAAAGGAAACTCTTTCCTGGCTAACATCTTGCTGCAAGTCCTATTTGCTAACTGCAGCGCCCAAAACTCTCCATGAAACTCATTGCGTTTACATTCCTGACATCGCTTACTCTGTACTTCATAGGGTCCCGCCGTCCACTGCTTTGCTCTAAGTCCTCCAGACTTTTCTTGAAGTGTAACTGTGCAGTTTTAATTAGTATTAATTGCTGAAAGGCAAAGTCAGAAAGAAAGAACCTTCATATAGTCAGCCTGTAAATTTACCAGAGGCATTGGACGGCTCTCTTTCAAGAACAGAAAACTGAGCTAAATGCCGAGGAACTTAAGCTTCGCGTAACACCGTCAACTTTTCAGAATTGTTATGCTTCCAACCTGCTCTTTCTAAAACCTCAGGAAAGTTGGCCAACACAGAATGAGGTGAATTCAAAATCCCGTTGGAGGAATACAATTGAGTTTTTTTGGAAACGAACACGGCTGGCTAGCGAAGAACCTGCAGCTGCCCAATGAAATGAATGGAGAGGAACATCTGGCTCTCTGCAACTGTAACTTGCGTTCACCTCCTACCATTCACCACATTGACTGAAACGGATGGGAGCTGCATGGTAACATCTGGAGAGCCCTCAGTTACGGCCCTTTAAATTAATAACAACACCTTAAAGAAAGACACCTGGTTTGGCTACTCTAGGTAGCATCTCTAATGTTCCAGAACCTTCCATGAAACAAAGAGCTGGATGAAATACTAGGTAATCCAGTTTCGAACGTGAGATATGAACAGGTTCCACCAAAGCTGTGATAGCGAACCTATGGCACAGGTGCCACAGGTGGCATGCGGAGGCCTCTCTGCCGGCAAGCGAGCTGTTGCCTCAGGTGAGCTCCACTGTGCATGCGCGCCCACCTCCCACTCACCAGCTGATTTTCAGGTCTCTGCTCTGCATAAAGAAGACATGTGTGCATGCACGAGGCAGTGTGGGGTCAAACACACATGTGCAGTGGCAGCTCGATGAGGTTGCGTGCACATGCACAGTGGATCGGGGTGCATGGGGGGAACATGTGCATTGCATTATGGTGTGGGCATGTATGCATCAGCTGTCATGTGCGCACTTTTGGTGCGCAAGGACAAAAAAGTTAGCCATCACTGCACCAAAGTAAACATTTAACCATATTCACATTAATGTGTGTGTGAGTGTGTGTGTGTGTGTGTGTGTGTGTGTGTGTGTATGGTTAGGTTTAGGTTACGACTCAGGATGGCGTACAACATAAAAGAAAACACATATTGCAAAAATTAAAAGGGACATTAAATAAAGTATCCAAAACTGTATGCTAG